TCACCATGTTGACCAGGATGGTCTCGATCTCTTGACCTTGTGATCCACCCGCCTCGGCCTCCCAAAGTGCTGGGATTACAGGCTTGAGCCACCGCGCCCGGCATCCACAGCACTTTTAAAAACAATCCTATGACTGGGCACGGTGGCTCACACCTTTAGTCTCAGCACTTTGGGAGGCCGAGGCAAGCAGATCACTTGAGGTCAGGAGTTTGAGACCAGCCTGGGCCAACATGGTAAAATGCCATCTCTGCTAAAAATAAAAAAATTAGCTGGGCATGGTGGTAGATGCCTGTGATCCCAGCTATAGGCTGGCAGGCTGAGGCCCGAGAATTGCTTGAACTAGGGAGGTGGAGGTTGCAGTGAGCTGAGATCATGCCACTGCACTCTAGCCTGGATGACAGAGTGAGACCCCGTCTCAGAAAAAATAGCTGGGTGTGGTGGCATGTGCTTGTGGTCCCAGCTACTCAGCAGGCTGAGGCAGGAGGATCATTTGAGCCCGGGAGGCAGAGATTGCAGTAAACAGATTGCACCAGTGCACTCCAAACAAATATAATAAGTAAATAAATAAATTGGAACACTGGAATTACACATTTTGCTAGTTGTTGCTAAATTGCCTTCCGTGATACCAATTTGTACTCACAGTAACAGTAGATGAGAGTCCTTGTTTCCCAACAGCAATGCCATTTAAATATGTTACTCATCTTTAAAAAATGTAGCCATGGTGTCTTACTGTTTTGTGAATGATATTACAAATGTTTCCCTGTGTTAATCTTGCTGTTTCTGTATGATCTCATTTGATGCTCTGGATGGCTGTCAATGGCCAGGGTATCATAGGGTCTGTATTCTTCCTGCTCTACAGAGGAGAACCTCAGGCCCAGAGACATGCTGGGTTGCCCAGGATTACACAGCTGGAAGCAGGGAATACTCCATCCCACAGCTACCTATATAGTTTTTTGTAGCCTAGGAGCCAGTTATCCCCTCCCCCTTTGCAGCGGATGCACAGAGATTGGTGTGAGATTACAGATAAAGCCCAGTGGCTTTTTCTTTCTCACTGGGCCCTAAGACCCAGAGGCTTGGAAACTTGTGTGGACAGCAGCAGGGGCCAGGAGCTCCCACATCCCCAGGGCGTGGTGCTCTGCAGGGAGGGCCCGTTTCCTGGCCCCTGTGCTCACCTTCTGGGTTTGACTCTTAACTTCTAGTCTCTGGCCAGCTTCCTTGTAACCTCTCCCAGGCTCCCCTCCCACCTCCTGCATAGGCCAGCGGTGCCCTCTGCTGTGAGGAGCCGAAACCGCAGCGCCCCGCATGGGCCCTGTTTGTGGCTTGCTTCTGAGAATGGGGAACATCCAGGGCTCTCCTGGGCCAGTGTTTAGAAACTGTGACATCTCTGTGGCTGTAACTGTGGATTCCTGCCAACTCTCAGCCTCCCTTCCTGGCCCCCAGCCAGGGCCTGACATCCACAGAGATGTGTCTCCTGTGTATTCACAGGCAGGGACAGATAGAGCAGGGCCATGGTGTTGCTTTCAGGCAATGTACGTGTGCCTGACATTTATAAGACACCACTCAGGTAGGATGGAGCTTTATCCTCAGAGAAGGAAGACCAGAGTATCTGAAAGCAAGATGAAGAAGAAGAAGCATACTGTACCACTCTCTGTTTAAAAAAAAAAAAAAAAATGGGGGCTGGGCTCGGTGGCTCACGCCTGTAATCCTAGCACTTTGGGAGGCCGAGGCAGGTGGATCACTTGAGGTCAGGAGTTCAAGATTAGCCTGGTCAACATGGTGAAACCCCGTCTCTACTAAAAATACAAAAATTAGCCAGGCGTGGTGGCATGCACCTGTAGTTCCAGCTTCTTGGGAGGCTGAGGCAGGAGAATGGCTTGAACCCCGGAGGCAGAGGCTGCAGTGAGCTGAGATTGCGCCACTGCACTCCAGCCTGGGCAACAGAATGAGACTCCATTCCAAAAAAAAGATGGGGAAATTGGGTGCTGGGCTCATGCCTGTAATAGTAGCACTTTGGGAGACTGAGGTGGGTGGATTCTTGAGCCCAGGAGTTGGAAACCAGCCTGGGCAACATGTCAAGACCCCATCTCTACAAAAAAATACAAAAATGAGCTGGGTGTGGTGGTACATGCCTATAGTCTCAGCTACTCAGGAGGCCGAGATGGGAGGATGGCTTGAGCTTGGGAGGTCGAGGCTGCATGAACTGTGATCACACCACTGCAATCTGGCCTGGGCGACACAGTGAGACCTTGTCTCAGAAAAAAAAAAAAGATAGGGAATATGATAGCTACTAATATTGCTTATATATGCATTAAAATGTCTAAAAGAAAAATCAGCAATAGTTACCTATGCAGGGGCATTAGAGCCGAGGCAGATTGGGATGGAGATGGGAGATTTTTCACTGTTTACGTTTTTATACTCCTGATATTTGAACCAAGAAATTACATAAATTGAAATCATAACAAATGAAACAAAAGGGGAAGGCCTGGTGTTCTTAGGGCAATGTGCTGGACTCAGGGAGACAAATCTGGAGAACTTCAGTGCTGAATTATGCAGTGCTAACCCTCTGTGCTGTAGTCCAGAGAAGAGCTGAAAGAGCTGAGGCCTGAAAATCTGCAATAAGATTGACTCTATCCCATGTTGAAAGCCTCTCCCCTTCCCTCCCTGTTCCCTGGATTTGAAAGCACTAGGGCATTCTACTTTTCCCCTTAGGGAACTACCTGGAGTGGCCTTCTGGGGTCATCTCCCCAACATGGCCTTCGTAAGGACGTTGGATGTAGGACCCAATAATCGCCAGTTCATTGTTTGGTTTTGGGCACTGGCAAATTTATCATGGACTTAACAGGCTAGTGTTTGAGAGTGGCCCTAGAAGAGGGTGAGTGTGATGGCTCACACCTGTAATCCCAGCACTCTGGGAGGCCAAGGGGGAAGGATCGCTTCAGCCCTTTAGTTTGAGACCAGCCTGAGCAATGTAGCAAGACCCCGGCTGTACAAAAAAATTTAAAATTTAGCTGGGCATAGTGGTACGTGCCTGTAGTCCTAGCTACTGCTTGGGAGGCTGAAGTGGGAGGATTGCTTGAGCCCGGTAATTGTAGTAGGGCATAACTGTACTACTGCATTTCAGCCTGGGCGACGTAGACCCTGATTCTAAACAAAAGAGGAGAAAGAGAGAGAGAGAGAGAGAGAGAGACTGTCTCTAGAGCCCAGGATTAGGCTGTACTGGGAGTCTTGGGAGCTCCAGGTAGGAGGAGAGGAGAGCTGCAAAGGCTGGAGACAGGCAGGGTCTGAGTCTGCCACCCAAGGTTATACAGGCTGGTCCATGGCCATCCTCCTCTGTCAACCAGATTCTCTCCCTGTGGAAGCTCTGTCCTCCTTTTTCTATGAGCTTTTCTCCTCCAGATTTAACCAGGAGGTCTCACCTAGAGTGAGCTCTGAGTCAGGGTTTGTTGAATTCACTGAGATCCTTCTTCTGGTGTGGGCTGATGTGCCAAGGATCTGGGCAAGGCCCAGACAGTGACTTCTGTGTCTTTTTACTGGGTGATCGCACTTATGTAGTAAGAGAAGTGTCACTGGGGGCTACACACATCTGATCCCCGGAGAATTCCACAACTCAGTTGGATGGACAGCCAGAGGCTTTGGAGTACGGTGCCATACCCCTCGTGTGAACTTTTGTTGGTTTCCTTCCATTTCTAATTCCTGTTGCCCACAGATGGAGAGATTACCTCCAAGCCTATGGTGCTGTTCCTGGGACCGTGGAGTGTTGGTAAATCTACCATGATAAACTACCTCCTTGGGCTAGAAAATACTCGCTATCAGCTCTATACAGGTAATCAGTTTTCTTGTGTGATTGTTGGGATTTGAATGTCATATGTAAAAGCACCATGAAAAGTTAAATCACTGGCCAGGCATGATGGCTCATGCCTGTAATCCCAGAACTTTGGGAGACCAAGGCAGGTGAATCACTTGAGGCCATCAGTTTAAGACCAGCCTGGCCAACATGGCAAAAACCTGACTCTACTAAAAAATTACAAAAATTAGTGGGGTGTGGTGACAGGTGCCTGTAATCACAGCTACTCGGGAGGCTAAGACATGAGAACTGCTTGAGCCTGGGAGGCAGAGATTGCAGTGAGTTGAGATCATGCCACTGCACTCCAGCCTGGGTGACAAAGCAAGACTCCAGCTCAAAAAANAAAAAAAAAAAAAAAAAAGAAGGGCTGGGTACGGTGGCTCATGCCTGTAATCCCAGCACTTTGGGAGGCCAAGGCGGGCAGATCGTGAGGTCGAGTTCAAGAGCAGCCTGGCCAACATGGTAAAACCCCGTATCTACTAAAAATACAAAACATTAGCCGGGCATAGTAGTGTGTGCCTGTAACTCAGGCTACTCGGGAGGCTGAGGCAGGAGGATTGCATGAACCCAGGAGGCAGAGGTTGTAGTGAGCAGAGATCATGCCATGGCACTTGGGCCTGGGCGACAGAGCATGACTCAGTCTCAAAAAATAAAAAATAAATAAATAAATAAGAGCAGTTATGCCACATGCAGGGGTTAAAATAGAAAATATGAAAAAGGCCAGGAGCAGTGGCTCATTCCTATAATCCCAGCACTTTGGGAAGCCGAGGCGGGAGGATCACCTGACGTCAGGAGTTCGAGACCAGCCTGGGCAACACGGTGAAACCCTGTCTCTACTAAAAATACAAAAAATTGGCTGAGTGCAGTGGCTCACACCTGTAATCCCAGCACTTTGGGAGGCCGAGGCGGATGGATCACGTGAGGTCAGGAGTTGGAGACCAATCTGACCAACATGGAGAAACCCTGTCTCTACTCAAAATGCAAAAATTAGCTGGGCATGGTTGCACATGCCTGTGATCCCAGCTATTCAGGAGGCTGAGGCAGGAGAATTGCTCAAACCCAAGAGGCAGAGGTTGCAGTGAGCTGAGATTGTGCCATTGCACTCTAGCCTGGGCAACAAGAGCAAAACTCTGTCTCAAAAAACAAACAAACAACAAAAACACATACACACACAATTACCTGGGTGTGGTGGTGGGCTCCTGTAATCCCAGCTACTCAGGAGGCTGAGGCAGCACATTTCTTGAACCCAGGAGGTGGAGGTTGCAGTGAGCTGAGATTGCACCACTGCACTCAGCCTGGTGACAGAGCGAGGTGCCATCTCAACCAAAACACACTGCCACGTGTGTACCTATGCAACAATTTTGCATGTTCTTCACATGTACCCCAAAACCTAAAATGCAATAAAATAAATGAAAAAAAAAAAAAAAAAAAAAAGGAAAAGAAAATTCAAAAAAAAGAGAAAACCAAAAAACTGCAGCTGCACCAAAGTCCATAGCAGCACTATTCACAATAGCCAAAACATCGAAACAACTCAGGTGCTCATCCATGGATGAGGGCATCAGCAAAATGTGGTCTGTTCATACAGACAATGAAGTCTTCTTCAGCCTTAAAAAGGAATGACATTCTGATATCTGCTACATGGATGAACCATGAAGATGTTACGCTAAAGGAAAGAAGACAGACAAGAGAACATATACTGTCTGATTTCAATTCTGTAAAAGTAGGCGAAATCAGAGACACCAGAGTGGTTGTAACCAGGGGCTGGGGGAAGAGTGAGTGGGGAGTTACTGTTCAGTGGATACAGAGTTTTCATTTTGGGAAGATAAAAACGTTCTGGAGATGGATGGTGGTGCATAACAGTGTGAATGTACTTAATGCCGTGAACTGTATGCTTTCAGATGATTAAAATGGCAAATTTAGGCTGGGCGCAGTGGCTCACGCCCATAGTCCCAACACTTTGGGAGGCCAAGGTGAGCAGATCATTTGAGGTCAGAAGTTTGAGACCAGCCTGGCCAACACAGTGAAACCCCATGTCTACTAAAAATGCAAAAATTAGCTGGGTGTGGTGGCATGTGCCTGTAATCCCAGCTACTTGGGAGGCTGAGGCAGAATTGCTTGAACCCAGGAGATGGGGGCTGCAGTGAGTTGAGATTGTGCCTCTGCATCCAGCCTGGGTGACAGAGCAACACTATGCCTCAAGAAAAAAAAAAAAGTAAATTTTGTGTTACATTTATTTTACCACAATTAAAAGAAAGCCCCAATAGCCTAGTAAATGTATCCTATTCTTGTGGCAAAAGTCTCCTTGTGATACCCAGCATATGCATATGCTTCTCAGTAGGTCTGTTTCACAGAGATCCCGTATTCCCTGTCCTCTCACCCCGCGTGCCCAGGCGCTGAACCCACCACCTCTGAGTTCACGGTCCTAATGCATGGGCCGAAGCTGAAAACCATCGAGGGCATCGTCATGGCTGCTGACAGTGCCCGCTCCTTCTCACCCCTGGAGAAGTTTGGCCAGAATTTCCTGGAGAAGCTGATTGGCATTGAGGTTCCCCACAAACTTTTGGAGAGGGTCACTTTTGTGGATACACCAGGCATCATCGAGAACCGCAAACAGCAAGAAAGAGGTAATTTAGCCCTCATTTCTGAACAGGGTGAGCTCTGTTTCAAAAAATTATTTTTGGCCAGGCATGATGGCTCATGCTTATGATCCCAACTCTTTGGGAGGCCAAGAAAGGAGGATCTCTTGAGGCCAGGGGTTTGAGACTAGTCTGAACAACATAGTGAGATCCCATCTCTACAAAAAAAATTTAAAAAATTAGCCAGGTATGGTGACATGTGCCTGTGGTCCTAGCTACCTGGGAGGCTGAGGTGGGAGGATTGCCTGAGCCCAGGAGGTTGAGGCTGCAGTGAGCCTTAATCGTGCCACTGCACTCCAGCCTGGGCAAGAGTGAGACCCTATCTCATATAAATAAATAAATAAATAAGTAAGGTTAGGCACAGTGGCTGACGCCTGTAATCCTAGCACTGTGGGAGGCCAAGGCAGGTGGATCACTTGAGCCCAGGTGTTCGAGACCAGCTTGGACAACATGGCAAAACCCCACCTCTACAAAAAATACAAAAATTAGGTGGTCATGGTGGCACATGCCTATAGTCCCAGCTACTCAGGAGACTGAGTTGGGGGGATTGCTTGAGCCCAGGAGGTCAAGGCTGCAGTGACAGTGAGCCACGGTCATGTTACTCACTCCAGCGTTAATGACACGGCAAGACTCTATTAAAAAATAATAATAATAAATAAATAAATAAAAGAAGAAAGAAAACTCCTTTTGACAGTGGGTGGTAGGCAGGCAGGGGAGAGAAAACGGGGCCTGCATTGCCCAAAGCCAGAAGAAGCATTCTTCGCCTTCTTGTCTTGCCTGGTTTTGAAGTGCCTAGTCCTCCTACCTCCCCAAGGACTTATTTGGTTTGGAGACGGCCAATATTTTCCAAAGTGGGGGACTAGTCTTTGCGAAAAGCTCTGAGAGGTTCAGCTGGGGCTCAGTTGTCTTTGGGAGGCCCTGTCTCTCCTGTGTAGCCAAGGACCTGGACTAACTGGATCCTAGTACCAGTATGTTTGACTTCTGGCTAAATTGGGTCTGGGGCTCCTGGGCCTGCTGTAGGTTGAACCTGACCTTCATTTCTTCCTATTCCTGGTTTCTGCTTTTCCAGGCATGCTTCCCCATGAGCCTTTAGCAGGCTTCTTCAAAGCCCTACTTGCCCTCAGGTAGCAGGGGAATGCCACTTAGGGCCTGTCTGACTTCACTTACATGAGAGTAGGCCAAAGCAGAGAGACAGAAACCAGAGTGGTTGTAACCAGAGGTTGCGGGGAAGGGGAGATGGGGAGTTTAATGGGTACAGAGGTTTCAGTTTGGGAAGATGAAAAAGTTCTAAAGAGGGATGGCAGTGATGGTTATACAACAATTTTGAAAGGATTTAATGAACAAGGCTGACAACCAGGCCACAAGACTAGAAGCCAGAGGCCCACCAGGCACGCGGCTATGGAATAGGCCACTGAGTCCTGCCATGAGGCGAGGCTGTCTGCAGCGAGTCCTGAGCAGGGCAGTTGTGGGAAGACAGACGGTGGGTCTCAGTTCATGGTTACAACTCCAATTCTGGTTATAAATGGATCCTGCATGAATGATATTAGCAGTAATATTAGTATTGGTAATATTAATAATGTTAATAATTATAATAAATTGTATGCTTATGACACATTGGATAATTTTATACATTAATATAAAAAAAGATTTCAATGTGTTTTAGACAGGAGGTCCTCATCTCCTCAGTTTTCTTATTTGCAAAGAAAACTAGGAAATAAGAAGCTAAAGGAGTTAAAATGTACTGGGCATCAGCTGTATGACTGGAATTTTAGGTGCTTTCCTATATTACAGTAATATGGTAATCTTTATGTCAACTCAGACGTTAATAATGTTTTTCTTGTCATTTTGGAACTAAAAAGGTAGAGCTTAGAGGCATTTAATATGCAGCTGGCCAGGGGCAAAGCTCAAATTCTAGTCTACATCTTAATGCCAAGTCCACATTCCTCCCCCTAAATAATGCATTCGCTCTTTCATGTTTTTCTAATTCCCTATTTCTCTCCCTCAGTATCTTTACCCTTGCCCCAGATCCTTTTAAACAGTAGGACAATTTCCATTTTGAACAGGTATTTTGCTTTCTTAGAGACTTGGATTTCACAGTAGATGAGAACAATGATCAGGCAGGGTGTGGTGGCTCATGCCTATAATCCCAGCACTTTGGGAGGCTGAGGTGGGAGAGTTCTTAAACCCAGGAGGTGGAGGCTACAGTGAGCTATAATCATGCCACTGCTCTCCGACCTGGGTGACAGAGTGAGACCCTGTCTCAAAAAACAAATCAACAAGAAAAACAAGGATTAGCTGTTCTTAGTTGAAGGTTGGCAGGGGCAGGAGATATGCAACTGATTTTTTAATAGTACTTAGAAACCCAGAAAACCCAGTGCTGTTCCTTCTTTCAACCCCCAGAAAAGTTTAGTTCTGAAAGGAGGCGTGTGGGCTTTGAGGGAGGCCTTCTCAGTTTGACTTCTCGCTCCTGTCTCCAAAGGCTACCCCTTCAACGATGTGTGCCAGTGGTTCATCGACAGGGCAGACCTTATCTTTGTTGTCTTCGACCCAACCAAGCTGGATGTGGGTCTGGAGCTGGAGATGCTCTTCCGCCAGTTGAAGGGGCGTGAATCCCAGATAAGGATCATCCTCAACAAGGCTGACAATCTGGCCACCCAAATGCTCATGCGGGTTTATGGGGCCCTCTTCTGGAGCTTGGCCCCTCTCATCAACGTCACAGAGCCCCCACGGGTTTACGTCAGCTCCTTCTGGCCACAAGCATATAAGCCAGACACCCACCAGGAACTATTCCTCCAAGAAGAGATCTCCCTCCTGGAAGACCTGAATCAGGTGATCGAGAACAGATTGGAGAACAAGATTGCCTTCATCCGCCAGCACGCTATCCGGGTCCGCATCCACGCCCTCCTGGTTGACCGCTACCTGCAGACTTACAGGGACAAAATGACCTTCTTCAGCGATGGAGAACTGGTCTTTAAGGACATTGTGGAAGATCCCGATAAATTCTACATCTTCAAGACCATCCTGGCAAAGACCAATGTCAGCAAATTTGACCTTCCCAACCGTGAGGCCTACAAGGACTTCTTTGGCATCAATCCCATTTCCAGTTTCAAACTGCTCTCTCAGCAGTGCTCCTACATGGGAGGTTGCTTTCTGGAGAAGATTGAGCGGGCCATCACTCAGGAGCTTCCGGGCCTCCTGGGTAGCCTCGGGCTCGGAAAGAATCCAGGTGCTCTCAACTGTGACAAAACAGGGTGTAGCGAAACCCCCAAAAATCGCTACAGGAAGCACTAGGTGGTGTAGTGGTTCTTGGGTTCCTGTTGGTGAATGAGCTTGTGTCCTAACTGTCTGAGAAGTCGAGGTTTATTAACCCTTTGAGCCACCCTGGCAGGAATGATTACACAGTGGAGATTTGGGAGTTCATTGAGGCCAGGGGCCGGGGCAGGTGCGTGGGTCTCAGGAGGAGAGTGGAAACTGTGAATTCTAGTGCGCTTGTCTTGTTGCTTCAATGAGGAGGCCTGATTGAGGCAAGTCAGCCTCCACCTGCTTTTCCTGGGTCTTGTCTTGGAAGGACAGAGAGCAGCTAAATTCTAGTTTTTCTGAAATCAGTGAGGGTCAAATAAGCTAAAAACAGCTGAAGTTCCTTTGTCCCCTGGGGGCTGGGAAAACAGCAAAGGCCTGCGTCCTAGAGATTGTCAGGTCCGTCTGGCTTCTTTCCACACCCACAGGCTTGTGTCTGTTCCCCAGCCCTTGGCTGCTTCTTAACTTTGGGTTGACTTTCAACAGTGAACAATCTCTTGAGTCTGAATATACCTGGGTTTTTTGTTTTGTTTTGTTTTTGTTTTTGTTTTTTTTTGTGATGGAGTCTCACTCTGTTGCCCAGGCTGGAGTGCAGTGGTATGACCTTGGTTCACTGTAACCTCTGCTTTCCAGGTTCAAGTGATTCTCCTGCCTCAGCCTCCCGAGTAGCTGGGATCACAGGCATGCACCATCACGCCCAACTAATTTTTGCATTTTTAGTAGAAACGGGGTTTCACCATGTTGCCCAGGCTGGCCTCGAACTCCTGACCTCAAGTGATCTACCTGCCCCGGCCTCCCAAAGTGCTGGGATTACAGGTATGAGCTGCCGCACCCAGCCTTTACCTGGGTTTTGAGCTGATCCCCAAGACTTGCTCCTGGTTTCCTCAAGGTGGGACAGTGGTTTAGGACAGGAGACAACTAAGTACAGGAATCCCCAGGTAAGGACGAGGATCTGCCTTCCCCAGTGCCAATTCTCTGATGTGTTCCTCAAAGCCGGCTCGGGGAGCTTGATCCCTTTATCGGACCCAGGAGAGAGGGAGTGGTCAGTGTATCCAGGTAATTTACCTCTTGGAAGTGACTTTAGTGAACGTCGTGGAAGGGCTCAGAGGGTTAATTGGTTTGCAGTGTGTCTTTGTCTATTGCATGTCTTGGAAAACTCAGATCCCAAAGGCATTGGGTTTCAGAGAGGACAGTGGAGACCTTGCTCATTTTCCTTAGGCCGTCAGTCTCTCCTAAATTTAAGAGGAGGCAGTTTCCACAACTCCTCTGTGGAAACACCTAGCAGCAGAGTTGTTCCTTTGCGGTTTCCACACCATGGCTTGCCCTTTCCTTTCTTCTCCATTCCCTGATGCATCAGCACTTAAAACTTGGAGCAGTTTCCAAGGAGTCAGAACCAGCACCAGCCACTCTGTGTTGTTGGCAACCAAGGATTAACATTGACCCTGATGCAGATGTCCGCTGAACACACTGCAGGAGAGCCAGGGCCTTCAATACCAGTGAGTGTGAAATATATGTGTATGTTGTCTGAGAGAGACGAGGGAGATCACATAGACTCGAGGGTGCAGAGAACTTGTTGTAAGAGTCTTACAAGGCTAGCATGCACAGCTCCGCAGAAGTTGGTGGGGAGCAGAGGCGCAGGGCCCGCAGGGAAGCAGCAGCCTTTGGATGGTGAAATGTGCATGATGCACAGTCTATACATGCCCAGGAGACCCAGCCCCGGTTGCCTTGAGGGGCTCCTTTGTGCAGAGCCAGCCGCTTCTCTTGGGAACAAGCTGTCCTGGGGGCCTTACCTGCAAGGCAGGAGTCAGGATACACCAGCACCAGGAAGTCATCCTGGACCAGAAGGAGGGTGGAAAGGCAGGCAGAGGGAGAGGCACTCTGAGGTCAGGCAGGGTAAGCCGGTTGGCAGTCAGGTTAGGTCTACATGGAGAACCTCGAGTTAGGAATTCCTGGTTCTCAGAATCGTTATCACTCTGGTACATGCTGTCACAGGGGCCATTGCATTTGGCTTTGTGGAGGGCCTGGAACCTTCCACAAGAACACCCAAGGTTCCAGAGCACCCAGGACAATGTTTCCAAGGAACGAGTCAACCAGGAAAGAAAGTGAGTTCTGCAAGGGGCCTCCACGGAGCCTGTGATAGGGCTGATGAGATGGAATCTGTCCTGGACTTTTCTTCTTATTAACCACCCTCCGCAAACCCCAGAACACCTTGCCTCATCTCTGTACCATTTGCCCTCTTGGGGGATGGGCCCTCCCACCTCTCCCCTGCCTGCATCTCCATGCCGTGAGCTGCTTTGGCAGATCTGTTTTTCTGTGCAGTCAGGGGGAAAAAACACACAAGAAATGCACAACTGTGTGGGCATTGTCATAGCTGTTGATGTCTCCACTGCTTTGGGGGAAATGGCTGGGATGAAGCTAATACATTCATGCAATATTTATATTTTCAGAGGCTACGTTATCAGCATGCTCTTGCTGCCTTGGGCTTTTCCTTCCATCATCTGTTTTCCTTTTTGTGTTCCTTCTCTCTTTGACTTCTCTTCCCTTTCTCACTGTCAGACTTTCTTGTCTCTGCTGCTCACAGGCCTGCCCATCAGTCAGCACAGATATTTAGTATCTGGTTTCTGGCCAGCTCTGTGGAGGGGGCTTTGAGCAGAATTCTGACTCTCTGGGGTGGGGGTTAGGAACTGGGGGAAAGGTAAGGATCTAGAGATTCCCTGAAGAGGAGTGTCTGGAAGGATCTGTGCCTGGACAGTGGCTGAACCTTTCCAGTGTTCTTTCGGTTCTGATTTCATCAGTCTCAATAAAAGTTCCGACCTCTCTTTAACACTGAGTGCTTTCTCATGATCTCCAGCCAGGTTAATCTGTTCATCCTCCTTTTACCTGGTAGAGTGAACTCACTGTAAGTTTCTTGGGGAGAGACTGGAAATTAAGAAATTTCACCCTTGTGTTAGTTGAATGCCCCAGGACCTTCTTTAGGGCTGAGGCTGAGTTGGTCTCTTGGCTGGCCAGGAAGCCCAGGCCTGCCTGGTATCCCTTGAAACTTAAAGAACCGCTTTCTTGGCCCGGCGCGGAGGCTCAAGCCTATAATCCCAGAACTTTGGGAGGCCGAGGCAGGTGGATCACAAGGTCTGGAGATTGATACCTTCCTGGCCAACATGGTGAAACTGAAATACAAAACAAAAAAATTAGCCGGGCATGGTGGTATGTGCCTGTAGTCCCAGCTACTTGGGAGGCTGAGGCAGGAGAATCACTTCAACCCGGGAGGCAGAGATTGCAGTGAGCTGAGATTGCGCCATTAAAAACAAACCAGGAAAAAAAGTGCGGTCCCTTCCAAAAAAAAAAAAAAAAAAAAAAGAACTCTCTCCCCAGCACCTCAGTGCCTCATTCCCCCGAGCATCCGCGCAGCTGCCTCAGATACCCAAGGGCTCCAGTGGAGGGCACAAAGGTTTCCTGAATGGTAAGGCTGCTGCCTCCCCTTGGCTTCATCAGGTGATCTCCTCCACGCAGCATGGACTTGAGCCTCCCACTTGGACCTGTCTTTTTTGAGAGTCTCACTCCGTCACCAGGCGCCAGGCTGGAGTGCAGCAGCACGACCTCAGCTCACTGCAACTTCCGCCTCCCGGGTTCAAGCAATTCTCCTGCCGCAGCCTCCCAAGTAGCTGGGACTACAGGCGTGTGCTGGACCTGTCTTTAAAGAAACCTGAACATGTCCTTGACTCCCGGAGCCCTTCCCACCATGTTTTCCTGTTTCCAGTGTCCTCTTCACAGGAGAGGTACTTTAATTTTGAAGTTTTACTTCTGGGGTCTTCGAAGAAATTTTACATCTTGCTTGAGAACAGGTTTTTTGTTGTTGTTGTTGTTGATGCTTTTTTTTTTCTCTGACACAGAGTCTCGCACTGTTGCCCAGGCTAGTGTGCAGTGCTGCCATCTAAGCTGACTGCAACCTCTGCTTCCCAGGTGCAAGAGATTCTCCTGCTTCAGCCTCCTGAGTAGCTGGGACTACAAGCACACACCACCATGCTTAGCTCATTTTTGTATTTTTGGTAGACGTGGGTTTTCACCATGTTGGCAAGTGATTGGCCTGCCTCGGCCTCCCAAAGTTCTGGGATTACAGGCGTGAGCCACCACATCTGCCCAATTTTTTTCTGACACAGGGTCTCACTCTGTCACCTGGAGTGCAGTAGTGTGATCATAGCTCACCACAGCCTTGACCTCCTGGGCTGAAGCAATCCTCCTGCTTCAGCCTTCCGAGCAGCTGGGACTACAGGCCTGTGTCACCATGTCTGGCTAATTAAAAAAATTTTTTTCTTTTTTGATAGAGATGAAGTTTCACTATGTTGTCCAGGCTGGTCTTAAACTCCTGGTCTCATTCCATCCTCCTGCCTCAGCCTCCCAAAGTGTTGGGATTAGAGATGAGAGCTATCTCACAGTTAGCAGGTTTTGAAAGGGAAAAAGCTGGGCCCTGGGGAGAAAGGGAGAGTCTGCAGTCCATTGTCTTTGAGTGACTAAGCAACCTGACCCAACTAAGGCCACTCTGTTCACTCACCCCACCGTGTGTCCTCCTTCCACCCGTTCCAGGGAGAAATCCAGAGCTCTTCCCTGGAAGAGGGAGGGAAGTCTGTTTAAAAGATAAATATAAGTAGGCCGTGGCTGACACCTGTAATCCCAGCACTTTGGGAGGCAAAGGCAGGCAGATCACTTGAGGTTGGGAGTTCGAGACCAGCCTGACCAACATGGAGAAACCCCATCTCTACTAAAAATACAAAATTAGCCAGATGTGGTGGCGCATGCTTGTAATCCCAGCTACGTGGGAGGCTGAGGCAGGAGAATCACTTGAACCTGGGTGGTGGACGTTATGGTGAGCCAAGATTGCACCATTGCACTCCAGCCTGGGCAACAAGAGCGAAATTCCATCTCAAAAAAAAAAAAAAAGATAAACATAAGTAATAGTAATATGCCAGAATCTGCCTCAAAATTATGCTATTTCACAATCCTCATCATCTTCACGTTTTCTTCCATTAACATGATAAACAGAAAATGGAGAAAGCACAGTCAGGGACCAGGATAAACAGTCAAATTAAGTGAGGGGCATGAATGGAGTGTTTTTAAGGGTAAGTGGATGTATCATCTGAATCCATGGAGTTACACGTGGTTATATGTGTAAGGTGTGTGGAAAATACAATAAGGAAAGTTCATGCATGTGGGGAAACAGGTGCCCAAGTACTTAGCACAGTGCCTGACACGCAGGAGCTCATCACCCATGTGCTATCAGAGGGAATAAGTGGGTTTTGGGGAGTACAGAAGGTGTCTGCGTGGTTTTTTGTTTTGAGACAGGGTCTCCCTTTGTCACCCAGTCTGTGTGCAGTGATGCAATCACAGCTCACTAAAGCCTCCAACGCCTGGCCTCCGATGACCCTTCTGCCTCAGGTCAGCTTCCCAAGTGTCTGGGACTACAAGGGCACATCACCACACCCAGCTAATTAAAAAAAAAAATTTTTTTTTTGGCTGGGTGTGGTGGCTCATGCCTGTAATCCCAGCACTTTGGGACGCCAAGGTGGGCCTTATCACTT